CTTCCAGGCATCACTGCAATTCAATATTGTGCGTAAAAATGGCCGCAAATTCATTGCCATTGCTCCTATATATTTGGGGAGCAAATTCATCACTCGGCACATGATGATGAACTCATATCCAAACCACAAGCTTGCATTCTCTGTATGACTTTCAAATACATACACTGAAATCTTTAAAACGCCTGCAAAATAAACAGATCATTTATGTAAGAGACATCTGGTAGTGAGAATAACACAACTATTAATACAGCCACTTACAAAACCTCAAGTCAAGAAGTTAAGTGCTACAGAAGGTGTGTTTTTATATTCAGCTTACTTTATTCATTCAAAGAGGTAATCATAATCGTCTCTTATATTTTTCTTTTTAATCTTTCATTGAAGTTAAGGAACTACTGCTTCCAGTATTAAGTCTCTGAAATACTTACATGTCGTTTTTTAAATGCTACTTTATCAACTCTAAATGCTAAACTTGATTCAATGTTTCAACTTTCAAACGATAGTAGTTTTTTGCTGTTTGAAGAAAATATTACGCCGTATTCATCAACTTTTATTTGTAGCAGTCTATTTGTAAATCTGAAACCTTAGCCTTCTGAAATAGTAGTTTTATATAAGAGAATTACTCAAATCATACACCAAACATACAGTTCGGTAACACCATAAAAGGTATATGAAGAGAAAACTAGTTAACAACTCAAAGCACACAAACATCAAAAGTAGGGAGAAGAGAATGTATTTAGTGACATAGTAGATTAACTCATTTCAATCTATTGCAAATGTATTGTGTTTTTAGATTGTTAAAAATGCATTATTGATCTAATTTTATAAATAAATGTTGACTTCTTCGTATATTTTTAAAAGTGCAATGTGATTTATAGTACAAGATTTTAAATTAATCCTGATTGTTTTTTACTTATGATTAAATAGACATTTGTTGAATAAACATCCAGGTGTAATTGTATTTTCGAATGATAGATACCTACAGAGGATATCAATTGGTGTTTTGAGAAGAACAACAGAAAACCAATCAGGGAAAATCAGTTGTCTAAAAAACAAATTATAAAACTAAATGGAAAGCTAAAGAGCGGTCTGACATCGAATATACTCTAAAGAAATTGCCAAACTTTGTGGGGATAAACCCAACAAATACATCTAAATAAAGCTAATACTAAAGGGAAACTATCACAAATAGGCTCAAAAGGAAAAAAATATCACTTTTATCACCGTTTAATTTTTCTTTCAAAATTAGATTAGTTAACTTTTTCTTTTTCACAAATGGACCATCTGTCCGTATACCCATCCACTGGAACAGAAGCGCACATCGACATCCCTGATTATCCCACTTTAATGATCTACACTTTTCTTTCATAAGATAATACGAGTACTCCGTATGACTTACAAACTAATCTCCGGCTCCCATGTTCACTTAATTTTGTTTTTTTTATAGAAAAAATTGTACAACTGTAGGGAAACTAAAAAAAAGCCGAAAATAAATTTAAAATAATAGGGAGTAAGTTTTGTAATGTTATTTTTTAGAAGCGTTTTGTACTCAATAATTTACTAAATGAAATTTAAAAAAAATGAATAAAGCGAAATATATAAATATATAATCATAAAAAGGTAAAAAAATATATAAACATGCTCAAAAATTAAAAAACGTAAATTAAACTTCTTTTATCATAAAAGAGCGACTGTTATATTAAAATCGAGAACACATACAAGAAAACCTTCAGACATTATTTACAGATTCCACAATTTGAAATACCGTACATAGTATTGGTCTAACGGTGTTGGGTTGGGTTTGATCATCAGTGTTGGGCTGGGATTAATGGTTAGTTTTTCAAAATGGCTGGATCAAAGGTAGTAAACAATTGAATAAATAAATTGTTCAAAACAAATATATTTGAAGTTACTTGAATATGTAAAAATAGTTTTTTGTCATTTTCGTTCCCTCGATTATTGTGAAATTGATACTTTTGATAATCGAGTTTTAATTTTTTCAATTTCAGTCCTCGACTATTATACTAGGGACACTTTTAGTCCTAAACTTTAAAGTTTTTTCACATTTAGTCCCCTCAGCATTACAAATTTGACACTTTTAATTTAGTCCTTCCACTATAATTTTTAACACAATAAGTGGAGGACTAAAAGTGTCATTATTATAGTAATTGAAGTAGCATAATGTCATTTTTATAAAAGTTGGAGGACTAAATATATATGGCCTTTAATGAACTGCTAAAAGGTCGGTTCACTCAGTTGCGTCTGGGAGATCTTTCAATCTACTGTTAACATATTAAAGCATGCAAAGTATATAGGTCGGATTGGTGATTTCTCTATATTTAATAATTAAATAATTAAATAATCTACTCTATTAGTTGTGAGCGGCTTATTTCATTAATCTTTATGATGATTCGTTTTTGGGTATATGGAAATGTCTTCTCATTTGATATCTCAACCATGTTTGTGTGTGTTATACTTCGTATAAGTTAGTTACTCAAAATTAATGCTTAAAAGCATATGCACTTTTCTTTTTTAAAGTTATGGTATTTGGAATGTAAATACCATGGAGTTTCACAAAATCTGTGTTATATTGATCCTATATCATTGTTTGATACTCCCTCCGTCCCATAAAATTCTTCTCAGTTTGACTTGACACAAAGATTAAGAAAGTGAAATAAAGTGGAAATGTATGGTTGTAGTTGTGTAAGAAAAAAGTGAAATGAATATGAACCACACAAATTGTCCAAAAATGTTAAGTGAGAATTTTTTTTGGGATGACCCAAATAGGAAAGTGGCAAGAATTTTGCAGGACGGAGGTAGTAACTAATTTTGGATTACGTTGTTTTGTTGCTATATTTTATTACAAATATTTACTTATCAATCTATTGTTATATTTCAAAATGAACAAATGCAAAGTAATTTTTGAAAAATAAAATATAAAAAACACTGCAGAGAAATACAGTGAATCATTGTCACAAATATCTATCTTTAATTTCTTACAATCCATTTGAGATATATTACATTTTTTTCAATTAATTATTTTTACTATGTAATTACAATTTATATTATTAAGATAAATGTGAGGTCTCAACAAACTACTCCTTAATTTTCCCCAAAAAAAATTGTCCCGTGTTTAATGGCTGAAATGTAGATCTAATTTATATGTGTAAATTATTAATTCCTCCGTCCCGCTAACATTGTCTCAGCTCCTATTCACTTGGTTAATACAAATTACTCTTAATCTCTTATTTCAAATTTTTATCAAACTTGATTCTGGTTTTTGCGACTTTGTAAAGCTTTTAATGAAATTTCTGAATATGTATTTTTTTTCTAAAAATAATTTGAGAGCAGATAGGAATATGTTTGCTTTATCACCGGTCAAGCATCGAAAACCGAATTGTCTAAATCTTAGTGAGACGGAGGTAGTACTTATCTAAAGCTATGTATTTTATTATAAAATCCAAGAATTAAATTAGTAATGGTTGAGGGCTTTTTAAATTCCTAGACTACATGCCGAATTAATGGTCTACTTTTAGAAAAATGTCGGATGGATTAACTGAATGCTAGGGGAATAGCACACAGTTCGTTTGAAATGATAATTTATGCATGCTTGAGGCTGTCTATTTTCTCAACGTGAGAAATTGCTTGAGCATATATTGGGAGCGGTAACTATACATTTCAGTTGCTGTGCACATTTATGTTGTCTTCAATCCCTTCACATAATCATTTTGATCTACGTTGTATATACCAGTTGGTAGTGGGTAGAGGGTAACGGGGTTGGGGTGGATCAGTGGGGTCAAGGTAGGGTGGGTGATAACAGGTAATGGGGGAGGGGGAAAAAGTATGGTCTGGGTAGGGGGCGGAGTAAGGGGTACGAGTACGGGGGACGAGTAGGGGTTTGGGTGGGATAAGGGGCATGATCGGGGGTAGGGTGGTAAGGAGGCGGGTAGGGGTGGCGAGGGTGGGGTGCGGGGGTAGGGTATGAGGTTAGGGGTCGGGGGACAGGTAGAGGGTAGGGTAAGGGAGGGGTTATTGGGGTTAGGGTGGGGTTTGGGTAAGGTAGGGGGGTTAGGGGTGGGTAGGGGTAAGGGTAAGGGGTAAGGGCCAAGGTTAAATTTGTAAACTTAAATTGTCACTTAATTAATACATGTGGGTGATAAGCTTAGTAAGTAGTATTTTAAGCATCTGTTTCGATTAGTAAGCAACTTTTTAAGCAACTTGCGTGTTTACTTTACTTTCCGTACTACCCTAATTGTGAATTTTAGCATCAAAGTAACACCGAACACGTCCTTTGGAAAATTGGACCTTGCATTCATCTTTTTATTAGACTTTACACTATTTTCAAAAAAACTTTGATTGTGCACTTCATTTCACTTAAAAATCCTTTGATTTTGCACTCTCATTCACTAATTTTTTCCACAAAATATTAGGTGATAAGATGTAAAGTCAAAGTATTTTTTTTTTCAAATTGGGCGCCAAATCGAATATCACCCAAAAAATGGGGTGCAAACTCAAATTCACCTTTAACAAAATTAAAAATTGAAAATAAATGAATAATAGCTAAAAGTGGTTCTCTATAGTAGATCTAAGCAATACGACGAAATAGACAAAATAGATACTCACTCATTACAATATTAGAAAATTAATATCCCGTGCTTCGCACGGGTAGAATACTAGTACAAATATTTTTTTTTATTTTTGTATGTATGAAAATTAGTTTTTCTCATAAAACATCGATCAAATTGTCTGTGTAGCCGGTCAAATTGTCTGTACCCAGACGATTTGATCAGCGTGTAACCCAGCGTCGTGTAAAACTTGGCTTGTATAAAGGCAAGGTAAAGGCCACATACAACAACAAGTCAACAACCTGTACTATGGTCACTTACTGATCCCACAGACCTGCAGGCCATAGTCCCACCATGGACTAACGGTCATATTTTTTCAAAACTGTTGAAAAGTTTTAAAAAGCTACTGCCCTTTCTATACACCAGAAAACTCGTTTGGTTTTGGGTACTTGTACCTATCTTTCATTTTCCATCTCCATCAAAGACTAGCCACAATTATCCTTTCCTAAAACACCATTCCCCTTGCTTTTGACATTCAATCCACTCTAATTCCCTCCAACATGGGTTGCTTTGCTTCTTGTTGCTTTACCTTAAAGCACAAGAAATTCATGAAGTCTCTTAATAATAATGCTATCTCTCCTTCCTCCAAGCACCAGGTAAGCTTCTAATGGGTTTTTCTTAGTTTTTATTTCTTACTTGTTTCGACTTTAAATCCTTAATAGTTTTCTTTTTCCTTCAATCTTTCATTAGTGTCTTCAAAGTCTGCTGCAAACCCCTCATGAAAGTGAATTTATTAGTGTAGTAAATCCATCTCACATTGAGGATACTGTCCTACCCATTGCTGATTCCAAGTAAGAACTTCTTTTTTTCTTAAAAAAATCCAGTCTTGGTTTACTTTCTTGAAGATTTATTATTATTTCTTCCTGCAACTATCAGAGAGAAAGAAAAGGTGACATTTGATCTAGATATTAACCAAGAAGATGAGCAGAAAGATGGGCAAAGTAAGACAGAGATTAGCACCGATTCAAGCTTGTTTTCATTCCCTCTGAGTAATCATAGCTGCAAAAATGGTGAGGATGAGAATCAAGAAGAATAATCTGAGTCACTCTTCTCTCTGTCAATAGACTCCATCCGGAGGAATCTCTCTAGATCTGACAGGGATGAAGTTAACAGTCCATTGAAGCCAAATGGAAGAGACAGTAGCCGATTTGTTCAGTCTGTCTTGCATCCAATCCAAAGTATTGGTAAACCAGGACCAGCTAAGGAGAAGAAACCATCATCACCATTAATGGAGCCTCAAGAAAAGGAGAATCAGAATATTGAAGCTAGCCTGTCTAGCTGGTTAGTAGAAAAAGGAAAAAAGACCCCAAACTCTGTAGGCAGTCCAGATTCTGTTGGGAACTTATCCCAAGAATTGAGAAGAACAAAGTCTATAAAGGAATCTGGGAAGAGACCAATCTTGGGAGAATTGAAGCTTGAAGACATCCAAGCTTGAACAGTATATAAATATTCAAATTTAAGTTCAAGAAACAACAGCTGCTGGAGATGTAGTCTTTGATTCCTGAATATAATCCCACTGTAAAGATAATAATCTCCATGATTATTTCTATGTGAGTATAAGGGTGGCTAAGAAAAGAGAATATAATTGAGGAAAAATTGAGCAAATTAGGAATGAACTTGTCACTTTGTCAGGAAATAAAATTTGAGGCATAATGTAACTCAATGAATAGATTGTGTAACAAAGTTATGTATTTGTATGCAACTTGTAAATTGAAGATTGTGTTTGGTCACACTCAATTGGGTCAGTTACACATCCAACCCAATTAAGTCTACAACCTTTTTAACCTCCAGAGCATCATTTGGTTTTTAGTTTTTACTTCTCACTATAGCTCTCATTTAGTTAACTGTGCCATTTTTGAATATAAAAGGTTGTTCATGTACACTTTGGATAAAGTTACCAAATTTATTCTCCTCCACATTTGTCAAGGTAAAACCCAATCATAAACTCATTTCGTAAAGAATATAGGTGCTTTTGAGTTAAAATGAAGTTTTAAACTCCAGAAAAGGTATGAAAAAAACACTTGGCAATTGAAATTGAGACCAATTGAATTAATGTCTCATCAATCATACCAGATAATTACTACGGAGTACGTATTAATTAACCAGTCGCATACATTGATACTACGCCGTATATTAATTGAAGTTCATCTCTGAATTAATTAAGTTACTACGATAACCCAAATCTATGCCAAAAAATTAAAGTTATTTTTGAGATAAAATAAGTAACTAACTATGATGGCTCACAATTTAAATATGTAATTGTATCTTACTACTTCATATTAATTACAAGGGTGGAGGAAATACTCAATACTCCTGCCATAGCATAAAACTTGTTCAAAGTTAACTTAAACTTTTAATAATAAAGTAAAAACGTAAAAACTATACGATCAAAGGAAAAAGAAAGAACTTTAATCACATACTACGCACATACTGTATAGTATGTATCAGGTAGTACTACTTACTTTAAAGAATTACAAAGTCGATCTTTTGAGCAGTTAAACAAGGAAAATTGACAAACTTTTATAGAATGTCATTGGATTAGGAATTGTACTATTGTACTCATACAAGGGTTGAAAAGGGAATACATACTCCGTATTAATTAACCAGTCGCACAGTATTGTACTACAACGTACGTAGTACGAGTATATATTATGGCATTCTATAATAGTGGTGTAAGTACGAGTATCGTCTCCACAGGGACGGACAAAAGGGAATCAATAATTAATTAAATTCAGCGATTAAAAAGAAAATAAAATAAAAGCGTCGTGCGAGATTGGTTGGTTTGGAAAATAAAACTAATGCGAAAAAAACAATTAAACTAGGGGGTTCTTTCTAATTAATGACGAAGGGAACAAGGATTGATTCCGGGTTAACCAGATTTCTGGCAGATCAGGCCTAATTACATGAAATTAATTTAATTGAGCCTAGCTAATCATTACTAAGTTCTTACCGCTCTCGCGGCGTAGAGTACAATAATTTAGGGGACCAGACTGATCTCTCATACGACAGGATCCTAAATTATTGCTAAGACGAGCGAGCTTACGGCCCCTTAATCGCTACTAATCTCTTAGCGAACGATTAAGTGTGTGTGAATGTGTCTAGAACAAATTAGATCTCTCTTAATTCATTCTACATGCAATTGTAATTCTAGTGGTCATCTAGGTTACAAGAGATATCAGTCAAATTATTCAGACACAAATTAAACGGCATTCATGCAATTAACCCATCAAGAAACTAGCCATACATCATGATTAACCCCTTCATCAATCCCAAATCCCTAATTAAACTACTCACAATTCATAATTGAAGAATCAACAGAATTGAGATGAATAGAAATAATTGTCATTAATTAAAAAGGTGAAACTTACAAAGAATCCCAAAAGATTGATAAACAACGCTGAAAAGCCCTCTAAAATTCGTGCTAGGCTCTCTCTAAGCCCCCCCCCTCGAAAACGGGGGTTTACAAGATGTTTAAATAGAAAAATCGGGTGAAATTTGAGCTGAATTGGGATTTTCGGAGGCAGGCACGGTGCCAGGCACGATCGTGCCTTCGATCGTGCCTCCGGAGCAAAAACGCGCATTTTGGGCAGGCAAGATCGTGCCTCCCTCCAGGCACGATAGTGCCTGGGTGGCAGTAACTCCGCGGTGCTTTTCTCTTCAGGCACGATCGTGCCTGACTTTGAGGGCACGATCGTGCCTACTTAACTTCCGAATTTGGCAATGCTTTCTTCATGAAAGTTGTAGATAATGAAGTCCTATATGCACCCCAATTTGCCGAATGTGATTTGAAGCATCTAATCAAGAGATATGATCAAAACGGTGGAAGGTGTCTTTCTGAAATCGCAGCAGAGATCATCTGACTTCAACATCTGTTTTCACCTTCTTCCTCTCATATTTTCGCAAAGGTGTCTTCATATGATTTGTAGCCCTTGAAGTTATCTTTCATATGGAACTTTAATAGTGTGCATTGGTAGTTTATACAAAGAGATATGCTTTAACGATTGACAGAAGGTCATCCTGATCGTCATTTTCAAGCTTCATTCATCTTGTTTTGATCCCGAAGCCAATCCTAGAGCTCTTTTGTCATCAAATCTTCATCGTAAACCTCACGGTGACCTCCATAACTCTCAAATCAATTTCAAATTCTTCTCAACGCATCCCGATTTGTTAATTTGCGGGGCGTTTTTTTTTTTACATCCCTAAGAAGTGTGGAACTTTCAATCTCTCTCGTAAACAATGAATGTATTATTTCTTAGCTGTTTACTTAGGATGTTTTTACTTGGGCTGTAATTTGCTGGTCTGGTCTGGTCTGATCTGGTCTGGTCTGGTCTGGTCTGAACTGGTCTGGTCTGGTCTGGTAATGTCTGGTTTCTTTGTATTTTTATAACTATCCAAGTCTGGTCTGGTCTGGTCTGGTCTGAACTGGTCTGGTCTGGTCTGGACTGGTCTGGTCTGGTCTGGTCTGGGACAAATTACAGTCCAAGTAAAAACATCCTTATTTAGGTTTGCGGTTCCAACTTTATATGTCTGGGGTTGAGGCCATTTAATTTAATTTACATGAGGCATATGTAAGATAAATGGGCCCTAATACAAAGTTGGCACATTGTCTAATACTCCGAACTACGTACGTAGTAACTGATACATTTAGAGCCTAGCCTGTGTGATCCATTTTTTCGGCTTATCAGGCTTATACATCAATAAGTTTTTTCACCAAACACGTGATTTTTGATTTCGCGTGTAGAATTGTGTAATAAGAAGAAAAAGTAAGGTTGAAGTTACTTTTCTGGCTGCATTGGCTGAAGTTACTGTAGAGGATCATTTTATCTTTTTTTTTCATATAATTTTTATTTTATTTATTAATAACAAATATTTCAATTATAATTTTTTCATGAATCAGCAGAATCAACTAATATAGCCACTTCAACCAGAACTTCATAAACTTCAGCAACTTGAAAATGTTTGTCTAAAAATTACAGAATCAACCAATCCTTTTTATTACACATTGAAATTAATTAAATTTATAAATTTCATCATAATTGAAAATGGTTGTCTAACAAAATCAACAATTTATAACACCAACACTCAATAGAAAACAATTAACAATTAAGAAATCAAACAATCAACTATGAATGAAATCAATAATAAACAAATCAAATAATCATATCAGACTAATCTGCTTTCCAGTAGATTTTTTATATGAAAATTTTAGAGAATGTTTTTCATCAAGTGTAGATTGTGTCCATAAAATTTCAGCTTCAAATTTAATCGTGAAGTCAGTTAAATAAATTATTGAAAAACAATACGTGAAAATATGTATAAAAACGCAATGTTTTTCAATAATTTATTTAACTGTTTTCACGATTGAACTTTAGACTGATTTTTTTATACATAATCTACACTTCATAGAGAACATGATAATAAGTTTTCACCAACAAAATTCATTCCAATGAACTTCAACAAATTTCATCCAAAAAAATGTTAGTCTAGGGCTGGAAAATCAGCATACTCACACCTAATACAAAGAACTAAACTTGGGCCTATTTTTTATCCATTTTTTGTGGGCCTAGGGCGCCCGCTCCCCTTGCACCCCCCAGGGCCGCCCCTGATTAGAGTACCTGCATTCCTGCAACGTTAGAAAATTTAAATACGAAATTCATCTATTTGAAAAGTGTATGAACTTAGTCAATACAATTTTTTCTACATTCTAACACCGTCAAGAAAATCCACTTAGAGTATTGTTTATACATTAATGAATTTATTATACACAATGTTTTTCTTTAACTTTTTTCTGAATAATTTTGAAATAAAAATGCACATTTTGATATTAAAAAAATACAAGTTTCGTTATTATTTTGGTAAAGCCACACTTTTAGTCTCTGAAATAGTCATCATATTGAAATGTCAGACCCATGTTCCCCAGTTTGTAAATGTCACCTCTCAATTGTCCGAATTGCTGTAAATGTGGTCCTTTGAGGGGGTGAAATGTACTTCTTGCCCACATTGTACATTTCACCCCTCAAAGGATCACATTTACAGCAATTTAAACAATTGAGGGGTGACATTTACAAACTGGGGAACATGAGTCTGATATTTCAATATGGTGACTATTTCAGGGACTAAAAGTGTGATTTTCCCTATTATTTTTTTACTTTTTCGCTTAATAAAAAGTAAAATGGGTTCAAGTAATGTTTGGTTATTTGTGAAGTCTTGAAGGCATCATAGATTAAAATTTTTTGTTTTGTGTTTTTGGCCTAACAGCTCCAGAAGTTGGAACTTGTGATTTTTTTTTTTTGAAAATCCAGAAATTGGAACTTGTGATTTTTTTTTTGAAAATCTTCATGTATGCAGTATTGGTATCGTATAAAAAAAATCTTGGTTATTTTATTTCAATATTGGTATTTAACTAAGGTTATTTTCATGTTTGTGCCTAAACAAACATCACTAGCTAACTGCTTCAATTCCGATTTATGTTCGAGACCAGCAACTCAATCATTTGTGTTTCAGTTGAAGAAATGATGAATAAGTTCCAGGGGGTGGTATTGTCACACATGAATTGTGCCATGTCACAAGTAAATAAGATTCAAACTAATGCTTCTCCAGAGATTTGAGTACATCTATACATGTACGTATGAATTACTTTGATGCCCGCATACTACGTACATATTTGAAAAAAAAAAAGGCTTTCACCCAATTTGTTTTTACGTACATATTTGTAAATAGGCCTAAATGGGGAGTTTTATGACGTGCACGTTATTTT